CAAATCCAGCAGTGTCTAGAAGAAGGTACCTGGATTCCCCCCCCACAAGGCGCTCTTCTTAATTACTGATGTTAAACTTGGCTGGCAGCGCCTTGGAATGTATAAATACTTTATATCTCATGTCTGAGCGCCGCGCCTTATTATGAAAGCCGAACCTCTTCAAAGCGCGGCGTGGACGGCGAGAGCTTCATTGTACCAAAGTTCTAATTTAGCAATGATGACAAAGAAAAGTCAGATCCTTCGCACCGGCTGTGCATTGACTTGGCCCGAGGCGAGCCGTCTATCTTTACTACCTCTCACTATCGAGAGTAATTGGCCGGGAACTTTAACATGGCGGAGTCGAGGAATTCTCATTAGGAGGCATGAAGCGTCCTCCGTTCCCTCATATCTGATTGACGCCAACGTCTGGTTGCTCGGCATTGTAAAGTCGGATTTTACACTGCATTGTCACGACATCACATACCGCCGGGGACAATGGGTGACATCTGCATGACGGCGACAAGTAAAAAGATCCTAACGGGCTTTCTCTACCAAGACAACAGAGAAAGACGTTTGTTGCCCAGCCCTTTTCTTTTCTCGTTGCTGATATGGCTGCGGATTGGCTGAAAGCAGAACCCCATGTAATACTAACAAGGTAAAAATGAACGGTATCAAAAGAGAGAAGAACAAAACAAGTTTTTTGCTGCTATATTCGTGTTCTATCCTGATGTATTCCCTGCAGTACTTGCTTTCAACCACTAGATGTCCTCAGTCTGATGGCCAGCTTCATTCAGCCTATCTCTTCTGAGGTCAAGTGGTCCTGGACCTGCCCCCCAGCCTGTGACTGGACAGTGAAAGGAGAAGCAGCACAATGATGAGCTCATCTCGCTGTCGCTCTTCTCTCTCCTCCTGTCAGCACGATTCTTAGCGCATTATCTGTATGGCACCTTGTTCTGCTTCTTGCATAATACGAGGTGGTATCAAAAAGTTTTGAAACTAGTTTTGTAACACACACAAAAGGCTGCACACACAGTCACAGGGAGCACCGATCTTCATAAGTCAGTGCACCAAAAGCCATCGACCCATGTACATCGGGAGCTGTGCAACTGGTGCTAGTCTGAGCATGTGCATTACCACGTCTGCTATTTCATCGTGGACAACAAGTTAGAACAAAGAACAAAACATGAAATTCTGTGCAAAACTGGGTAAATCTGCCACAGAGGTGGTGGACACGATTCAGCAAGTGTACGGCGATGCTGCAATGAGTCGTTTGAGGCGTTTTGAGTGGCACACGTGCTTCAAGAGTGGAAGAACATCAATAGAAAACAATGAGAGATCAGGAAGACCTTCAACGACCTCAACCCCTGAATATTAATTTCCTCGTGGACAACAAGTTAGAGCAAAGAGCAAATGTGAGATTCTGCGTGAAACTGGACAACTCTGCCACAGAGGCGGTGGACGTGATTCAGCAAGTGTATGGCGATGCTGCAATGAGTCGTTTGAGGGTGTTTTGAGTGGCACGCGTGCTTCAAGAGTGGAAGAACATCACCGGAAGACAACGAGAGATCAGGAAGACCTTCAACAACCTCAAAACCCGAAAATTAATTTCCTCGTGGACAGAAAGTTAGAGCAAAGAGTAAATGTGAAATTCTGCGCAAAACTGGACAAATCTGCCACAGAGGCGGTGGACACGATTCAGCAAGTGTACGACGATGCTGCAATGAGTCATTTGAGATGTTTTGAGTGGCACTGGTGCTTCAAGAGCGGAAGAACATCACCGGAAGACAACGAGAGATCAGGAAGACCTTCAACGACCTCAACCCCTGAAAATTCATTTCATCGTGGACAGCAAGTTAGAGCAAAGAGCAAATGTGAAATTTTGCACGAAACTGGGCAAATCTGCCACAGAGGCGGTGTAAGCGATTCAGCAAGTGTATGGCGATGCTGCAATGAGTCGTTCGAGGCGTTTTGGCACGCATGCTTCAAGAGTGGAAGAACATCAATAGAAGACAATGAGAGATCAGGAAGACCTTCAACAACCTCAACCCCCGAATATTAATTTCATTGTGGACAGCACATTAGAACAAAGAGCGGAAGAACATCACCGGAAGACAACGAGAGATTATGAAGACCTTCAATGACCTTAATCTCCAAAAATTTATTTAATCGTGGACAGTAAGTTAGAGCAAAGAGCAAACGTGAAATTCTGTGCAAAACTTGGTAAATCTGTCACAGAGACGTTGGAAGCGATTCAGCAAGTGTAAGAGTGGCGATGCTGCAATGAGTCGTTTGAGGCGTTTCGAGTGGCACACGATGCTTCAAGAGTGGCAAGAACATCAGTAGAAGACAATGAGAGATCAGGAAGACCTTCAACGACCTCAAACCCCTAAATATTAAAATTTCTTCGTGGACAGCAAGTTAGAACAAAGAGCCAACGTGAAATTCTGCACGAAACGCAAAACTGGGCAAATCTGCCACAGAGGCGGTGGAACTGATTCAGCAAGTGTATGGCGATGCTGCAATGAGTCGTTTGAGGCGTTTCGAGTGGCACGTATGCTTCAAGAGCGGAAGAACATCACTGGAAGACGACGACGAGAAATCAGGAAGACCTTCAACAACCTCAAAAATCTGCCCGAAAATTAATTTCATCGTGGACAGCAAGTTAGACGAGCAAAGAGTAAATGTGAAAATTCTGCGCAAGTTAAAAAGAGTGTGAAATTCAAAACTGGACAAATCTGCCACAGAGGCGGTGGAACCGATTCAGCAAGTGTATGGCGATGCTGCAATGAGTCGTTTGAGGCGTTTCGAGGCGTATGCTTCAAGAGCGGAAGAACATGGTCAGGAAGACCTTCAACAACCTCAAAACCCGAAAATTAATTTCATCGTGGACAGCAAGTTCAAGAGTAAATGTGAAGCGCAAAACAAATCTGCCACAGAGGCGGTGGAACGATTCAGACGACGGAAGGCGTTTTGAGCGGTACGCACGCTTTCAAGAGTGGAAGAACATCACTGGAAGACGACGAGAAAGCAAGTCAGACCTGAAATCGCACAGAAACAGTGCATTAACCTTTTTCAAAGTCGCACTAATTTGAATGCTTCCATAGCGGCAAATAGGGTGCAACTTGTCATGTCACTTTGACCTGTCTAGTAGCATGACAAGTCACGCCCGGCATGAACAGGGGCTTACAGGTTTTTTTTTTGTATTTAAAGCAGCCATGTGACTCAACAGAACACCCCCCGTTGAGTTAGAGCCAGAGATCTCTGGTTAGCAGAAAGCATGATTGGGGAGGTCTAGCTGTGACTCAACGGGGGGTATGTTAGACCTCTGCAGAGAGACCACTGCTTCCACATAGAGTGCAAGGGTCCCCCCGACAGGGGCTTTTCTACTCAGGCTGTGGCTGTTTTTTAAAGAACTTTAGGACCTTGAACAACTTATCAAGGAAACTGTCCCCTGCCAGCATCCCGCAGAGAAGAATTCTGCTTGTGTGGAAGCAGTTGTCTCTCTACTGACCCCCCAAGTTGAGTCAGAGTTAGAGCTCTCCAATGAGTAGTGAGCATGATGGTAGAGCTCTAGCTGGTGACTCAGCAGGGGGGGGGGGTATGTTAGACCTCTGCAGAGAGACCACTGCTTCCACATAGAGAGCAAAGGTCCTCCTCTATAGCATGCTGGCAAGAGACAGGCTTTTCTACTCAGGCTGTGGCTGCTTTCTAAAGAAAATGAACTGTACGAATCTGCACACCTCATGTGCAATGTATTAAAACTGAAAATGCCGGGCAACTAAGCCCTGTGGGTGGGGTGAAACATGTTGGGGGGGGGGTGATCTGGGAGGAGTCAAGCTGAAGCCGCTTCACTCTTTTCACACCTAGGCTGTTCCTTTGTAGTGCAGCGTTTTATCCTCCCTTCCTTAATGTCAGCAGGGGGCATGTATGTCCTCTGCAGAGAGTCCACTGCTTCCACCATAGAAAGCAAGGGTTCTCCCCTATAGTAGGCTGGCAGGGGACAGGCTTTTCTATTCAGGTTGTGGCTGCTTTTTAACCCCCGGTTCCCATCTATGTGTGGCCATGCGGGCCACATTTTGCAGGGGCACGAGACCCTCTTCATTTGAATGGACTCCAGTGCCCGTGACACGCAGGGAAAGAAGCCCCTGCACTTCTTTGGAAAATGCAGCTGAGGTTCCCAGTACGGTTGCATTTCCCAGTGCGGGCGGCATGCCATCAGAACTAATGGCACCAGCCCGCGGGTCCGCATTCCTCTGTGCAGGTGGTGCGGCTGCACGGATTTTCGTGCGGATCCACAACGGCACCACCCGCACAGATGTGAACCGGGGGTAAAGGAAATGACCTGTAAGACTTGCACCTCTTATGTGGAATGCACTTATCGAATTTAAACTGGGACCGAATAAACTGAAGGCTGTAAGTCACCGCGCAGCACTTATCTATAAGCGGAGTTACGCGCGTTCCTGGAGAACGCTCTTTTTTGCGAATATATCGCCCACTACAAAAAAAGGACAAAAAAAAAAAAAAAAGGTAAAAATAAATTCAAGAAGGACTTGTACAGCGCAGTCAATGCACAGCCCGGGACAAGTCTTACATAGGGTCTTGAATGATGCAAATTGTCTTTTAGCGGCGGATTTCCATCTTGTTTTACGGCATTACAATCCATAAAGAAGGCCAACATTTCAATTCCGCACTTGTGGAAGGAAGCCGAGAGCCAAACGCATTTCCATCAATCTCCCGGCTCACGGCAGAGCCGCAGACAGGGGATAAATTGACCGGCCGTGCCCTAAGAACACTTTTCAGGAGTTGGCCTGAAGAATAGGTAGCAGGAAAGGACGACTCTTGAAACAAAAATCCATCATCACCGGCATTTGGAGGGTTGCGGTGAGTGGATTGTGCCGGGTGCAGTCAGGTAAATTCTCTTCTAGCTTCTCTGCATTACATTACATTGGCATTTGTTTAGGGAACGAGTTTGTACAATCGGCCATCTTTATTCCTTAAATCTGACCTCCGGATTGCCCTACAGCCTTGCACAGGTGTACCAGCTCCTCCCCTTCAGTCTTGCACAGGTGTACCGGCTCCTCCCCTTCAGTCTTGCACAGTGTACCGGCTCCTCCCCTTCAGTCTTGCACAGGTGTACCGGCTCCTCCCCTTCAGTCTTGCACAGGTGTACCGGCTCCTCCCCTTCAGTCTTGCACAGGTGTACCGGCTCCTCCCCTTCAGTCTTGCACAGGTGTAGCAGCACCTCCCCTTCAGTCTTGCACAGTTGTATTGGCTCCTCCCCCCTTCAGTCTTGCACAATTATACTGGCTCCTCCCCCTCATTTTTGCGCAGTTGTACGGGCTCCTCCCCTCCAGTCTTGCACAGTTGTACCGGCTCCTCCCCTTCAGTCTTGCACAAGTGTATCGGCTCTTCCCCTTCAGACTTGCACAGGTGTACCGGTTCCTCCCCTTCAGTTTTGCACAGGTGTACCAGCTCCTCCCCTTCAGTCTTGCACAGGTGTAGCAGCACCTCCCCTTCAGTCTTGCACAGTTGTGTTGGCTCCTCCCCTTTAGTCTTGCACAGGTGTACTGGCACCTCCCCTTCAGTCTTGCACAATTATACTGGCTCCTCCCCCTCATTTTTGCGCAGTTGTACGGGCTCCTCCCCTCCAGTCTTGCACAGTTGTACCGGCTCCTCCCCTTCAGTCTTGCACAGGTGTATCGGCTCTTCCCCTTCAGACTTGCACAGGTGTACCGGCTCCTCCCCTTCAGTTTTGCACAGGTGTAGCAGCACCTCCCCTTCAGTCTTGCACAGTTGTGTTGGCTCCTCCCCTTTAGTCTTGCACAATTATACTGGCTCCTCCCCTTCATTTTTTTGTACGGGCTCCTCCACTCCAGCTTGCACAGTTGTACTGGGTCTTGCATAGCTCCTCCACTCCAGTCTTGCACAGTTGTACTGGCCCCTCCCCTTCAGTCTTGCACAGTTGTACTGGCTCCTCCCCTGGACTAAAATGGCTTTCTCTGATGTCACTGCACACTGTGAGCTTCTTATAATGTGCATTAGAAGCTGCAGCAAGTCAGAGAGAGCTCTACCTCCTTTCCTGACTGAAGGACGTCCAGAATCACCGAGATCTTTCCTCCCCAGCCTGACTGGTCCACCTCTTTCATTTACTGGATTTCCTTTTATCAATCATGAAGGCTCAGCATTACCATTACCTAGGAACACCTACCTCTCCAGATTGACACCCACCCATCAAGGCATTCTGAGATTTACATAACTCCTCCCAAGAGCCTGATCCTCATATATGTAATGTTTCTCTGTTTCTAGTGACTTGTCTGTGTATTGGTGGGTACATTGGTGTATTGGCACGTCGGTGTATGGGTACCTTGGTGTATTGGCACGTTTGTCAGGGCCTGGACTTGAACCTGGGACTTCTACTGTGTCAGGCAGTAACTCTTCTCACTGAGCTACCTAGGATGCTGGACAACGCTCTGCCTCATCTATTGGATAATCCTGCCTTGTGCCTTGTTTGCTCTTGAACCTTGAACTCCTTGCTCCTTGAACTCCTTGCTCCTCCCATGAACTTCCTATATAAGCCATGTCCTTGGACTTCCTCCTTGCCAGATTATTGTGCCTTTCCAGCCAATATCCCGCTACTGTTCCTGCTGCTGTCTACACCTCCGCTACTGACCTTTGGCTTGTTCCTGACCACGATTTCGTCTCATCCTAACGTACTACGATTGATCTGCTACCATTTGTGACCAACCCTTGGCTTGTGACCGACTCTGCTTTCGTCTGATCCCTAACCTGTTGATCCGCTATTGGTTCCCAGTCTGCTCATTCCCTGGTGGGGTGATCCTGAGATCTGCGACCTGGTGTTAACACGCAGCCCAATCCATCTCCACCATTAGGAGCTCTGGTGAATACCGGTTAATACTTAGACCCCGCACCTCAGGTGAGCCTGCGTCATTCCCAGGGGGATCCGCTGGTGTACCTATCCTGCTGGTTCCAGGTAAGCCTTTTACTGCTATAGCAACTGGTCTCTGAACCTGACCTTACACCGTGACAACATTGGTGTATAGGTACGTTGGTGTATTGGCATGTTGGTGTATTGGCATGTTGGTGTATGAGTATGTTGGTGTATGGTTACGTTGGTGTATGGTTACGTCGGTGTATTGTTACGTCGGTGTATGGTTGGCGTTGGTGTATGGGTATGCGTTGGTGTATGGGTATGTTGGTGTATTGGCACGTTGGTGTATTGGCACGTTGGTGTATTGGCACGTTGGTGTATTGGCACGTCGGTGTATTGGCACGTCGGTGTATAGGTACGTCGGTGTATAGGTACGTCGGTGTATTGGCATGTCGGTGTATAGGTACGTCGGTGTATAGGTACGTCGGTGTATTGGGTACGTCGGTGTATTGGCACGTCGGTGTATGGGCACGTCGGTGTATGGACACGTTGGTGTACGGTGTATGGGCACGTCGGTGTATTGGCACGTCGGTGTATGGGCACGTCGGTGTATGGGCACGTCGGTGTATGGGCATGTCGGTGTATGGGTACCTTGGTGTATGGACACGTTGGTGTATGGGTACCTTGGTGTATTGTGGTCCAGGTCACTTTTACTAAACAGCCAACTGTAAAAAAAAAAATGGCACTGAGATCATGGCCAACCACTTGCTGACAGGTGGTATCTCTACGTACGGCAGTCAGCAAGGGGTCCCACATTTTTGCTATAGTTCGATTTTTTTTTTTTTTTTTTTTTTGTCACGAACGGTGAATCTAAAAATCTAAAAGTGACCCCCAGATAGAAAGCCTTCCACTTTACAAAAATATATACCACGGTATCGATCAGTCCGGGTGAAGTTCCGTAACACAAGGTCCCCTATCGGTAATGAATGACAAGTAGACATTCTGCGCTCTGACAGGAACACTTCAGTCTGGGTGACAAACAGCCGCGTCAGACCCGTCCATTCAATACCACGCCAGCCTCGTATCCCCAGCCCAGCTGTTCTCAGACTGGACATAAAAGATCGGCCCGTAAACTACATAAATCTGTCAGACTTCAGGAAATAAGACGGAAAGCCCTGAAGAATCATTGGAAGCAACGAACGTCCAACAGTCGGGGCGGGTTTGGCGCTGATGGCGGCACAGAACTGAGTGTTCTCAAAGCCACTCCGCCAAAAAAAATAAGTGACTCATAATGCAGATTGTCAGCTCTATGATGCCATTATATTATGTAACAATGTTCTCAGGACGGCTGTCACTCCTAATGTTCAAACTTTCGCCAAAAAATATAAAAAAGACACAAATTAATGCAGCTTTGTATCCATTAATACATTAAATGCGTTATAATGCAGTGCAAATAGCTGAATTTGACCATGTGAAGGCCCTATACAGCATCTGTGCCATGCCGGTGGTTAATTATTGTTCTGGGTAATAATTACTGCACTGCGCTTGAGGCTAATTATTGCATTGGGCCGGGTATTTATTTTTATTCCGTGGCAGTGGTTATTTATTATGTTGTGCCCTGGTTATGGCTGGGGCTGACATATACCGGGGATATTATTGCTGGCTCTTACACTTGCTGGGGTTATTACTGATCATGCCACTTGCTGGGGGTTTTTACTAACGGATATAGTGAATGCGGGGTCCGGGGAGAGCGGATATAGTGAATGTGGGGTCCGGGGAGAGCGGATATAGTGAATGCGGGGTCCGGGGAGAGCGGATATAGTGAATGCAGGGTCCGGGGAGAGCGGATATAGTGAATGCGGGGTCTGAGAGAGCAGATATAGTGAATGCGGGGTCTGAGAGAGCAGATATAATGAATGCGGGGTCCGGGAGAGCGGATATAGTGAATGCGGGGTCCGGGAGAGCGGATATAGTGAATGCGGGGTCCGGGGAGAGCGGATATAGTGAATGCGGGGTCCGGGGAGAGCGGATATAGTGAATGCGGGGTCCGGGGAGAGCGGATATAGTGAATGCGGGGTCCGGGGAGAGCGGATATAGTGAATGCGGGGTCCCGGGGTTTAGTAACACTTTAAGCCAGCACACAGAAATAAATATCCTGGTCCTCTTTACCTTCATCAGCATGTATTGCATAGAGCAGCTCAGGATGTGATGCTCTTCATCCCGGTATTGCTGCTATGCAGAGGACACCCTGCTGTGTAAAATTCTATGGTTTCCAGTAACCTGGTGTATTGATTCCCTGCTGCTGAGCCCGTAATTATACAGGCCCGAGTGATGCAAACACACCTGTCAGTTATAGAAAAAAAAAAAAAGACAGGATTGGAAAATTCTCAGGTCTGACTGAAGTACGTGAGGGGGAAATATGAAAGTCCGTATAGTAGTGATCTTTGTATAGTAAAAAATCCCAAGTGAATGGAATGTGATTGAACTGTGGAAGAACCAAAGCTGTGCCGGTGACCTCCATCCCGTCATCCCCCCAATTTCGAGAGAAGTCGGTTTACTGGACGGTTTGCAAAAAAAGGAAATATCAGAACACGCAGAATCAGGGGCGGACTGACAACTCATGGGGCCCCTGGGCAATAGGGGATCATGGGCCCCTGTGTCCTTACCCAAACTCAAAAAAGCCTATGAAAAAGGTACCAGGGGCATCTCATGGGGCCCCCTACTGTTCCGGGCCATCGGGCAGTGCCCGAGTTTCCAAATGGTCAGTCCGCCCCTGCCACACTGGTAAGAGATACAATGCACCCCGAACACCAGTTCATATCATCGGGAAAAAACTATTATTTTAGATAAAATAAGACTGGGCAGATTGAGAAATATGTATGGAACTGGTTGACTTGAAAATGTTGTAATTCATCTCTGGTCACAAGCCATCATCCCATAATATAAACTCCTAACTGTCAGGGGTGTCACAAGGGTGTCAGGCAGGTCTTTCTTTTCAGGGGGAACTCAGTCTGGTATCTCCAGCACACCAGTGCACAAGGTCCATAAAGACATGGATGAGCTTTTACCTGGAGTGCCGGAACCACAGCCAATCAACAGACAGCCCTGCTTACCGGTGCATGCTCAAAAGACCGAGCCTCCAGTTGTTCCACATTTGAGAAAAGCATCACTATGCCTAAGCTGAGCCTCTCTGCTGCAATCCTCAGTCTTTTCCCCAGGGACTCCAGTGATGCCTCTGCATTCCATTGACTCCAGTGTCTCCATTGACCTGTGTGCTCCTCTGCCTCCAAGGACTCCAGTGACCCCTGTGTGCCCCTGTGACACCAGCTATCCCTCTGTGCTCCAATGTCTCCAGTGACCCTTGTGTGCTCCTATGTCTCCACTGACTGTCCCAGTGTCTCCAGTGCCCATACGCTCCTGTATCTCCAGTGACTTCAATAATCCCTCTGTGCTCCTGTGTCTCCAGTGACTCCAATGTCTCCAGTGACCCCTGTGTGCTCCTGTGTCTCCAGTGACCTCTGTGTGCTCCTGTTTCTCCAGTGATTGCAGTGTCTCCAGTGACCCCAGTGTGCTCCTGTGTCTCCAATGACTCCAGTGATCCCTCTGTGTTCCTGTGTCTCCAAAAATTCCAGTGACCCCTGTGTGCTCCTGTGTCTCCAGTGATCCCTGTGTACTTCTTTGTTTCCCATGACTCCAGTGTCTCTAGTGACCCCTGTGTGCTCCTGTATCTCCAGTGACTCTAATGAGTGTGCCTGTGTGCTCCTGTGTCTCCAGTGACTCCAGTGACCCCTGTGTGCTCCTGTGTCTCCAGTGACCCTTGTGTGCTCCTGTGTCTCCAGTTACCCCTGTGTACTCCTTTGTCTCCCATGACTCCAGTGTCTCTAGTGACCCCTGTGTGCTCCTGTATCTCCAGTGACTCTAATAACCCCTGTGTGCTCCTGTGTCTCCAGTGACTCCAGTGACCCCTGTGTGTCCATGTCTCTAGTGTCTTCAGTGACTCCAGTGATTCCTCTGTGCTCCTGTGTCTCCAGTGTCTCTAGTGACCCCTGTGTGCTTCTGTGACTCTAGTGTCTCCAGTGACCCCTGTCTGCTCCTGTGTCTCCAGTGACCCTTGTGTGCTCCTTTGACTCCAGGGACCCCTGTGTGTTCCTGAGTCTCCAGTGACTTCAGTGATACCTGTGTGCTCCTGTGCCTCCAATGACT